GGAGAACGGGGATAATTGCGTTGGAAATGCAGCAAGGCTCCTCCCCTTATTCAAACCTAAAGGCTGCAACTACAAGTGCCAAGCTGCTCACTTTACGGCGGGCACACATGACACGTTCGACCACTGACGACGCGGAATACGACGAACGACGACACACCGATACGCGGCGCTCCGCCTTTGCGTCCACGCATGCATCGCGATCGACGATCTGCCAGGAAATCTGGCCGGCTATCGTCGATCGATCGATCTCGCCGCGTCTCTTCGAGAAACGGTTCCTTGCGCGTCTTCCGAAGCCCGTAATGGTTCCCCCCGTTCTCGAAAGGGGGGACCCTTCTTCCTCGCGATCTTCAGCGACCTTGGTCTTCGAACAAATGCGGACTTCGTTTTCGAACTCCGCGGATTTACAGCATAATTCATGCATAATTCATAGTAGTCTGATTTTACATGCATAATTCATAGTAGTCTGATGTTCTCTTCTTCTTCAGGGGGATCGGTTTCTCGCGCAGCTTCCTCTTTTGGAAAGCAACCCCTCGCCTGCCTTGGTCTATCACGGCGCAGAGGGACCGAGGGTCGCTCAACACCCTTTCCGGCACCCCCCGATAAGAAGGATCTTTCATCCGATAACACTGGCGATAACATTGTAGCACTGCCCGGTAACCGTTCCCAATTGAATTAAGCGTCGCCGAGCATTACCATAGTTAAACACTTAGCCCCGTCGATGAATCGATTAATTCTTTATATAGATGGTATCAGTGATTTATTCTTGCCGGTCGGATGGCTTTCTACCGACTCACGAATCTAATTAATAGCAACCGTAAGCACGAGCTTTATCGGTTGCGTGATCTTGCTCCCCCGAGGATACTCCACGGAACATTCCGGCCGGCCACGCGACATCTACGTGCCTGACGTGTTTATCAACCGCGGGATTTGCCAGTCATCGAAAGTGTTGAGTGACTTCTTTGGCTAATAGTCACTCGTCCACCCCTGCGCGCCGGCGGGCTCAATGATTTATATGCGCCGGAGCTATCGTCTTCCACGTAGGTGGTGCAAGTGCGACGATGATGGAAATTGCAACTGGTAAACCGACGCCGCTTATGTTGCACTGATAAGGGAATAATGGCACGTTTGTTCTACGAGCTTTCGTCGAGATGAATGACCAGGCTCGATAGTGCTGTACTGTGTTGCAGGTGTACTACTTGCAGATCTGCTGAACGCAGATTTTTTTGTAGCACGTGCCTCGATAAAGTTTTCCTTGAAACTAGGACTTGGACGGAAACTAGAACAATGCGCAGCTTCATCGAAATGTTCAGTTTTTCATGGCCTCCTTGTGTTTAACACCTCCTTGTATTTAGATTTACGGAATCCGTCGAAACGACGGGTCATTAATTGTTTCATTTACGATTATTCATATCGTAAATATGCATTTCTGAGTTTTTTTTTTCAATTTAGATATGTTGCTCACGGCAAATGTTACGATAACACTTGTTCAAAATCAGGATAAATGTTTTATTGGTACTTTTATAAACTAATATGAAACTGCTGTTTTTTGTGCTCCGTAAATCTAGTGTTAATAACCATGAGTGCAATTTTGAATAAGCAGCCATAGCAGTCCACCATGGAATCTTATTAACATTTCAGCCGTCGGTGCTTAATTATAAGTCCTTTATAAATCAAGTATAGAATTTCTCGATTTTTAAAGCAATTGTTCGAAAGCAATGTCAATTTTATTCGGAAACAAATGAATTGAAAAAATGATTATCTTCTTATCAGACATTGCACAATTATTAAAATGCGTGTTAACAGGTTTTTCCTAACTAAAATTCAAGATGATATTCAATTCTGGAATTTTGGCTTGCGGAGACTAATATAAAATTAAAAAAAGAAAAAGTAATTTTAATTAATTCAGTTTATATAAAATTTTAAAATTTAATTGGAGTTATGGTTGACAGGTCTGGCAGCCTCTGGTGGCCAATAAAGGAAGCTCAGCTCGTCGATGGACATTGCAGTGTCATCTGTTGGAGGCGAAGCGTATATCATTGATTTTGTCATACTGCCACAGACGAGGTAAGGGTGTACACACCTAGCAAGTATTCTGTATATCTCGTTTGCTTTACGACACGTTTTATGATTTCGAAGCCACAAAAAAAATTTCTTATAATTATTAGACAGCGCGAGAAATGTAGCTAACTATTATGATAATTAATTATATATAATTAAAGTTTATATTTTATATAAAGTACAATATTCGGTGACAGATCACAAAAATCCGGAAAATCCATTCCACTAGTCTCAGTAACTGGTCCCCCTGTCTCTTATACACATCTAGATGTGTATAAGAGACAGGGGGACCAGTTACTGAGACTAGTAGAATTCATTTTCCGGATTTTTGGGATATGTCTGGAAATCCATCCCACTAGTCTCAATAATTGGTCCACTTAGGTGGATAGCAAAATTTTGGACCAGTTACTAAGACTAGTAGAATTCATTTTCCGGATTTTTGGGATATGTCTGGAAATCCATCCCACTAGTCTCAATAATTGGTCCACTTAGGTGGATAGCAAAATTTTGGACCAGTTACTAAGACTAGTAGAATTCATTTTCCGGATTTTTGGGATATGTCTGGAAATCCATCCCACTAGTCTCAATAATTGGTCCACTTAGGTGGATAGCAAAATTTTGGACCAGTTACTAAGACTAGTAGAATTCATTTTCCGGATTTTTGGGATATGTCTGGAAATCCATCCCACTAGTCTCAATAATTGGTCCACTTAGGTGGATAGCAAAATTTTGGACCAGTTACTAAGACTAGTAGAATTCATTTTCCGGATTTTTGGGATATGTCTGGAAATCCATCCCACTAGTCTCAATAATTGGTCCACTTAGGTGGATAGCAAAATTTTGGACCAGTTACTAAGACTAGTAGAATTCATTTTCCGGATTTTTGGGATATGTCTGGAAATCCATCCCACTAGTCTCAATAATTGGTCCACTTAGGTGGATAGCAAAATTTTGGACCAGTTACTAAGACTAGTAGAATTCATTTTCCGGATTTTTGGGATATGTCTGGAAATCCATCCCACTAGTCTCAATAATTGGTCCACTTAGGTGGATAGCAAAATTTTGGACCAGTTACTAAGACTAGTAGAATTCATTTTCCGGATTTTTGGGATATGTCTGGAAATCCATCCCACTAGTCTCAATAATTGGTCCACTTAGGTGGATAGCAAAATTTTGGACCAGTTACTAAGACTAGTAGAATTCATTTTCCGGATTTTTGGGATATGTCTGGAAATCCATCCCACTAGTCTCAATAATTGGTCCACTTAGGTGGATAGCAAAATTTTGGACCAGTTACTAAGACTAGTAGAATTCATTTTCCGGATTTTTGGGATATGTCTGGAAATCCATCCCACTAGTCTCAATAATTGGTCCACTTAGGTGGATAGCAAAATTTTGGACCAGTTACTAAGACTAGTAGAATTCATTTTCCGGATTTTTGGGATATGTCTGGAAATCCATCCCACTAGTCTCAATAATTGGTCCACTTAGGTGGATAGCAAAATTTTGGACCAGTTACTAAGACTAGTAGAATTCATTTTCCGGATTTTTGGGATATGTCTGGAAATCCATCCCACTAGTCTCAATAATTGGTCCACTTAGGTGGATAGCAAAATTTTGGACCAGTTACTAAGACTAGTAGAATTCATTTTCCGGATTTTTGGGATATGTCTGGAAATCCATCCCACTAGTCTCAATAATTGGTCCACTTAGGTGGATAGCAAAATTTTGGACCAGTTACTAAGACTAGTAGAATTCATTTTCCGGATTTTTGGGATATGTCTGGAAATCCATCCCACTAGTCTCAATAATTGGTCCACTTAGGTGGATAGCAAAATTTTGGACCAGTTACTAAGACTAGTAGAATTCATTTTCCGGATTTTTGGGATATGTCTGGAAATCCATCCCACTAGTCTCAATAATTGGTCCACTTAGGTGGATAGCAAAATTTTGGACCAGTTACTAAGACTAGTAGAATTCATTTTCCGGATTTTTGGGATATGTCTGGAAATCCATCCCACTAGTCTCAATAATTGGTCCACTTAGGTGGATAGCAAAATTTTGGACCAGTTACTAAGACTAGTAGAATTCATTTTCCGGATTTTTGGGATATGTCTGGAAATCCATCCCACTAGTCTCAATAATTGGTCCACTTAGGTGGATAGCAAAATTTTGGACCAGTTACTAAGACTAGTAGAATTCATTTTCCGGATTTTTGGGATATGTCTGGAAATCCATCCCACTAGTCTCAATAATTGGTCCACTTAGGTGGATAGCAAAATTTTGGACCAGTTACTAAGACTAGTAGAATTCATTTTCCGGATTTTTGGGATATGTCTGGAAATCCATCCCACTAGTCTCAATAATTGGTCCACTTAGGTGGATAGCAAAATTTTGGACCAGTTACTAAGACTAGTAGAATTCATTTTCCGGATTTTTGGGATATGTCTGGAAATCCATCCCACTAGTCTCAATAATTGGTCCACTTAGGTGGACAGCAAAATTTGGGACCAGTTACTGAGACTAGTGGAATTCGTTTTTCACTCACTCTCTCTAAAAATCTGGCTAAAATGAACAGTTTATTATTAATTACCAAAATATAAATGAAATAAAATATAAAATTCGACGTTTTCATACGCTTCTCAATATCAAAAAGTCGCTAAATGAATTAAAACTGTAAAACGTCCGCTAATAGAACTCGAGGTACAAAAGAACTTTTGAAGCACAAAAAGTTCTAGCTCCAGATTTAAAAGAGACATATGAATTTGCGGCTTCAAAATCATGAAACGTGCCGTAATACGAATGAGGTATACAGCATACTCGATCCTCGCTAAGAACCTGAAACATCTTGCTTACATCGGTAACGATGGGCGCGACACAGGAATGGTAATGCGGCTTCTGAAGCCCCATTCGGGTGATAAAATAATGTATTTGATTGCCAAGTCTGCTCCTATACCTCGTCTGCGATCGTACCATCGTAACACAGTATTTTCTACAGAGTCGGCAAGGTCGACAATTCAGACCCAGAGACAGAAAATTGCATTGTATGCAATATCTGTACGGATCCCAAGTCTGTGGATGGAATCTCTGGCTATTATTTTCTATAGAATGACTATAGTTCCCGGCAACGTAGATAATGCACGGTATCAAGTGCAATGTTTAATCTTGACGAGCCTTCTTAACTTACGTTGCATTTCGATATAAAAGTGTTTCCTCGTTTGAAACGATTGTTTCGACTGAACCGATCCGGCGTATAGTATCGCAGCGAAACACGTACGTCAACTGTCATATCGCTAGCATAAGCTTTTGTTAGGCGAATCGATAATTACGGTGTAGTCCGATATGTCTTTAAAATGTGACCGACCGTTAAAATTAACGTTGAACCGATGCCATTTATGCGATGACATGCTGAACTTTACGTTTATCGTGAAGAACGAGATCGTCAATCCGCTAGTAACTGTCATCGTAGCTGCAACTGTGACGATGTGTTGAAGTTAAATAATTCATTGCAATCTTCATCTATAGCTACCTGTAACATTTGGCTTCGTTTCAGTTATATAATCGGTATTCTAAAAATGTTCGAATGGACGTACGATGGTGTCAACGTCTCCATACCCCGCAACGTGGGTCCAGAATGCTCATATTACATGACCCCGGAGCATAGAATTATTGAAACATCGTTTGTTTCTATATTAATAATAAGTCTACTTGTATGGGGCTACAAACGGCTGAAGTTGCCCACCGATGTATGCTACGCAGACCATGATCGGGTTGGCAAAAGGATATTGCTTTTAATTATGTCCATGGTATTGGGAATGGAGATTGGTTTCAAATTGACCAGCAGAACTCTCGTGTACCTGCTTAATCCCTGTCACATAACAACTGCAGTACAGGTAAAATATATCTATACTTCCTCCAAAGCAATGAAGAATGTACTCGAGCATCTATATCATTATTCAATGTTACAGTTGTACTTGTTAGCAGCCGCTCCTAGTCCAACAGTCAATAAACTCTTCAGGATACACCTGAACTTCCTAAATGGACCAGTTTTAGCTTACCTATTTCCAGAAACCGAATCACGTTATGTAAGTTAGCATTCGACTGTATTCAATAAATAATCTTGATCATCCATATTGACAATGGCATGCATTCTTCCAGATATTCGCTGATAAAGCATTGTACTACATTCAGCATGGCTTGATGGTAGTAATACCATATTATTTGCTAAGGCTTGGAGGTAGTTAACTATAATAATAGCAAACTAATATATTAGTTCACTCGCAAAAGGTCACAAATATCGGATGTCAACAAATTTCAGCCAACTGTAAATGACTTGAAAAAATATAAGAACCTTTTTGAGGATTTTTGACAAACATTTTTTTTTTATTTACATCGTCATAATCTATATAAAAAACAATAAAAAATGTTCTTGTATTTTTTGTGTGATTTTTCTCGAATGCAGTAGTAATCGCAGACAACAAGAATGTTAACATACCCTGTATATTCCAACTTAATTCTAGGTGTTTACAATGTTGAGCCTTTATCAGACATGAGCTGGACAGTTTTTAGTTATGGTTTGAATTTGATATATCACTTCTGGATTCTTCAGGCTTTTGCCTGGGTATGTAGCATCTTTCATTGAATGCTATTGCTTATAACGTTTCGCTGCTTTTCGTTCATGAGACCTGTTCTATTTTACAGCCTACAGAAGTAAATTTGAGCCACATGTTATGTCCAGCTGTACTGGATCCCTTTGAAGGGCAGTACTACCGTCTGTGGACTGTGGTTCATCAGGGATTACTATGTCCCTTGCTATGCAAGCTGTTTTGCTATGCATCTAATTACTTTTTGACCAAATGTTCGCTGACAAAGGTGAAAGCAAGTCTTGAACATACACTTCCGAAGAAGAACAAGTACGAGGAAAAAAGGAAATTACGTGAAAGTATTTCAAATACCTCAGGTAACGGGCACACGCACGTGAATTAGTCTAGTAGTTCTCGTCGATGCACGACAACTTGACCTCCGTGAACACTTCTGCCACAATGAAGTGAGTACTTAAAATTTATAAGGGGATAGAGACCTGTTCGTGTATTAACAATCACACAGTTTGGATGAGTGTCTACAAACTATACGATGCTGCCTGTTGAAGTCACAGGTTCATTTTTCGAACGATTTGTAATTCTTTTTCAGATATGCTAGACAGAAACAGGGCAAATAATAATTAGACGTTTGTAATTTGAAAAGAATGAATTAGGTACGAAAACTGGGCAACAACACGTTGATACACGTAAGGTTTTCGAACCGCGAGGCTTTGCTAGCTTCGTTAAATTGGATTCCTAACGCGTCTTTTACTAGAAGTACATACGGGTCAGTTTCCTATTAATAATTCGTAACTTTTTTATTGGTGCGATACCGTAGCACAAGAATATACTTAATTATTGTTTAACCTTTATAAAAACTCATTTTTTATCATTCTTTCCAGTATTGATGTATGCATCAAAGTGTGTGCTGATTTCTTAATCTATAGTTTCCTATTTTTTTAATGCAAGTTAATACATTGACCCTTTCGATTGTACGATACATTCCACGAACCTGATACATGAAACTGACTGCCGAAAATTTCTTTCGTCAAAGTATATTGTCTTATGCCAAAGAATACATCGATGTGATGAAAATTACTACATGATAACATATAAATTAAGGGACGAGTTAAAATTAATATTAATATATTTTTATTATTTTATTTAATTATCAATAATTTCGGTTCATGGGAGCCAAATGATCTGATATAGTATTTGATCGATCCTTTCGTGATAATAGCTATTAGAAATTTATTTGTTAAAGTTTTCTTAACATTTTTTTACGTTACTGCGGCCTAACAGAACAAGAGATTTAATTCGTCATTTCTAACGATTTTAAATGGTTTCCCTATTACTCTTTCATCTAGAATCGTACCTATACAGATGTCGTAGAGTGTTATTTTAAAAATAAAAAAAAATAAATAATTGGTGTCACTGTTTGTATTCAAACTATTTTGTGTTATAGAATAATTGATTTTAGGCTTCCACCGTCTTGTATAATGTTAATGATTGAGCTTCAATTGTGCCCACATGTTACACTACTGTGTTCTCGGACTCAGTACATATGTAATTGCATGTAAAGGAATACAAACGATACACTAAAAATAGTAACGTTACATTCGAGTGTATGTATAATTATTATAAGGCCTCAAGAATATTCAATTTAGCACTTTAATCGAGTGCGGTATGATATTTTGTAATAATGATTGAAATAAAATTGTACACCCGAAAATACTCAACTAATATTCGATACAGGGTGGAAAGAAATGGTAAGGGTCGAAATCAGGGTCAAATTGTTGTTTAGCTATTAATAAAATCTTGTTATGAATTTTGGAAAAGATATTTGTTATAGAAAACATGGTTCCCTTATTTTCGGTCAACTTTGTCTATCGAATACGATATAATGAACATAGAAAATTTGACCTTGAATTTCAATGTAGAGATCAATTCCATGGAAAACTCTTTCCACATATTTGTCAACGAGAAAGTGTAGAAGCACCTATGTACATTTCTTTGTATCCTGTATATATATGTGTGTGTGTGTGTGTGTGTGTGTGTGTATTAGAACTTGGAAAAATGTATCAAAAATATAGTATTCTATATTATAAGTGTTTTAGACTACTGTCTCATGGCAATGTCATAGGAAGATTAGCAGATTTTGTACATTCTGTACAGTAAAGATCACGTGTACGTTGCTTCTCCTAAACTGTAGTTTTATTAATTTGCAAAACACATATGTTCAGAGAAGTATGAACCGGTACTTCGAGAAGATTCGGAAGATTTATTATCATAATGGGATCCTATTGCATTGATTATAATTTAGACCATTAAGTTTTTAAGTCTTTCTCGATACCGAATCAAATCGAAAATGTGTTTATGCAGGCTGGTGTGCAATTCGTGGTACATTATTTCCTCCGCGACCACATGCAATTTAGAGATACAATAAGACGTTAGAGCCGTTTCACACGAGGATACGTGCGTCGTATCGCGGTACTGTATTGCCGTCTAAACACTCCTATTGAATTACATGAACGGTCAGTCACCTGTGTGTGAAACGGGTCTTAGGGAGTAGTAAAAGTTATTTTGTTTTCGCCCTAATTGGCTGCGATTGCTTCACGATTGGTAGTGGGGATGGAAGGGCGGTGCTAAGTGCTCGCCGAATGCGACGCTATAGAGGAAATACGAAGAATCATTACTTTCTCGCTTGTATCACGAATAATACCTCACGGTTTAAATTGCACGTTAATAAGAGATTACGTACGATTTACAACAGATTGCTATTGTTATATTTTTGTAAGCTACGGAAAGTAATGTTTCCATGACAGTGGTAGATGTATAAAACTCTGAAGTTATGGTAATCGAGCGAAGAGATGAAAGAAGACGTTTGTACGAAATATTCACATGTAAATGTTTCAAATAAAAAAGAAAGTCTTGTTACAACGAGGGTCTTGAAAGTTTGTTCATTCCCTGAACTTAATCGAAACAAATAATTCATGTGGTATACAATAGTACAGACATTAAAGCATTAAAATAAAATAATTTATTTACAGAGCGATGTACAATTTTTTTTTTAAACTCTTGTATTCCTCTTGTAAGAGTTTATACCGAGTATACCGATGTTCGAAGCTTAATTATATTTCGACTAAATTACTTCCTCTCTAAACATTTGTTCAGAATTGTTTAACGTTGGTAGCTATATGACTTCGCATGATTTATATGCACGTTTAAACACGAATATTATTTACAAATTGATTAAAACTATTTCCATATGTACGTCTCAACATATGCGACGGGTCGACGTCGATTAAATTGTAACACTTAATGCTATAGTGTACATATATTCGCAACCACATAGAGATTACATTAAAAGAATCATAATAAGGCACCACTATACAACACATGTAGTTTTCATATGTTTTTTTTCACAAAGTTTTGCTCGTCGATCCAAAAGGGTATAAATTCTAAATCAGTCCGCGACCCGTGGTACATGTGTTACTCGAATAGATGAAGACGCTGACGAAACAAGATTTGCTTTCATTTTATACATCTATGATCGATTAATAAAATTCTGTACAAAAGTTTAGAAAGGAGAGAGCAACATTACAAACGCTACACGCTTAACGAACACAATGACCGTAATAATTATGTACATTATATCTTATGCACTCATCTAACCCATGTTGTCTGTAACAAACTTTACAGAAGATAATTTACAGTTTTCACACGCAATCCAATACAATACTGTCTTATAACCGCTACATGTAAAAGCGAATTAAAAATCTATCTTGTACATCCATTGCACATAATACAAACGAAACGTCACACAGGGAACACAGCTCGAGAAAAAGAAAAATAAATGTCTTGATATCGTGTAGATGAATATCACAGGTACATAGTAAATTTCTAGCTAAATTTGCACCTTCAAAAAAGAAGAGCTACTTAAATAAAAATACTAATGGTGGGTATAAACACCGTAAGTAGAACACCTTGTACACTATTTTTACTTATGGCATTTGAAAAATGTGTTCTTAATGTTAAAAAATTGATAACAAACTATGACATGTATAAATATTTATGGTAAAAAAAACTTAAGCGTAATAAATCCTTTAAAATAAATAACAGCCTTAGAAAAAATATATATATATATATTTGAAACACCTACACGGATATCAAAAAAAAATATATATGTGTATGTATAAATATGCGCACTAATCAAATAAAATAAATTACAGTTACACCATTTATAGTTCTCGCAATATTATGCAAACGGCGTTAAGGATGAGAAAAATTAGTTCAATATTAATGGCAATCCTGTCATGCCATGGTAAGTAACTATTCTCGGACATAGATTGGAATAGCCGTTTTTCTTTGGCCGAAGATTTTATACATACGAAGCATGTATTTTTATACAAGAAGAACAAGAATATCAATACTGCATGGAAGAGTAAAGAATTTGACAATCCTTAATTCCTATGTACATGCGCGACGAACTTAAAATTAATCTACGTCACTTAAGAAACATTCAAATGAATCTGACTTGTATTAATTTGAGCGACACGCAATTACATCGCGGAGGAACTCCATTATTACGAATAATTGTGTGGATTTTTATGCGTTCATGAAAACTTCTACAAAATAATACTGACAGAATTTCATTGTTTTGCAGTACTTTTAACCCACCGAAATAATTGACGCAGACGATAAGATTCTGTTCCACAAAAAATGCGTTTTGCATAAAAATCCGCAGTTTATTTGTAATATAATTAAATCATTTCATTGTCAAACACATAGACCCTTCTGTCTAACAAATGCATAATGTCAGGCAAAAATCGATCGATACCCGTCGTTGAGTAACTCTCTTTTCCCAACTGTTATCACCATATAAAGCTCTATTGCAGATTTATCGGTTTAAATGGAATGCTAATACTATTTACAATGTATTGACTGAATGAACAGGCACACATCCTTTGTAAAGAGTATCTTATAGTTCATTAGTGTGCTAGTTCTACTTTATAGTAGACGTTCTGGTATGACACAGAGGATTCTGCATTTTAGATTTTTACCAAACAGCCTTGAAAACAATCTCTGACGAGATATCTCTACTATAAGTAAAGTGTTAGCCATCTAGAGGTGGTCCTAAGTACACCATAGTTACCTCTGTATTTCCATATACAGCAGACACGGATGGATATAATCTTTTATCTGGCAACCCTATATATATATAATTTCATCATTAACATCACTGTGAGCGCTATATTACTAAAAGTAGGTCTCACACAAAATGAAAAGAAAATGCTTTAAGTATCCTAAAGTATTTTTACACGAAAATTTCAATGGAATATGTGCCTTTGCCAACTAATCTATTTATCACTAAAAATGTATCGAATATTGAGATACAATACCTCTAAATGCCACTCCCAAAAATTCGTAATTCTTTTCAAAAGATAATGTGTTATCATCGCAATCTAATATTACCCTAATCCTTTCTCCAGCCTGTTAATTACAAAATTATATACCTTAACTTATATCTCATTGTATTCAATAATATTTATACAATCAAATAAATCTTACCTGATACCTGGGAGCATTATTAAGTAATGGATAATTTCCTTGTACATCTCCGTTGTGTAACAGATGATTATCTACCAGATTCCATCCCCACGAATGCTCATCGGATCCCAGTAACGCTACGTACCCATGGCATAACAACGGTGCTTCCCTAGTAGCTATCCCAATGACTGCTACCGTGCCCAATGGTCCTTCCCAAATGATTTCCCATGCGTGTCTACCATGTCGAAAACCAATTTTACCCCTGCAAGCGTCTGTAATTTGCGCAACTGGGTTTCTGTAACATAATCGAAGAATTTTCAAACATTTGCAATCTCAGAATAATCGTGACATTAACAATTAAACATTGTCCACTATAAAATGGCCTTATTCGCAAAACCGACAACGGCATAAACTTTGTATTATTTAAACGGTTTCTTTGTAAACATCGAGGCTACAGTTTCACGTTACAGTCACGGATTAAGGCTGTTGATTATTTCGTATTATGAATGTACCTGTGCAAAGTGAATCCATTGGAGCTAATATAAATGTTTCGTGAACAGTCGAGGGGATTCCACGCGTGATAAAACGCACGCAGCTTGGATTTATAGGTGGGCACCGACGACAAGATATCGGAGCTAAGGGCCTCCTGTGCCAACTTCCGAATGCAGTGTATCCTCCACGCGTCATTGTTCTCGTCATTCAAGAACTGGTTCCACCGTTTGCAAACGAGCGCGCAGTTTCTCAATGTGTGCAGATCTAAATAGGAAAATATCGCTTCTAAAACATGATCAGTTGCTCGCAGTGCTATATCGTCCATTTTGCCGGTTCTGATCAGGTAAACGAGCGAAACACACACGCGCGGAACCTCACTTCGTGTTACTGTATAGGTATCATATCAAACATTAGTGCCGATTCTCACTGTACATATGTACATTCAGAAGACACTTATGCCACAGGGCTTGGACTACCAGAAAATCCCGTGATACGATAACGGCCTCCGCTTAAAATGTAACGGTCAGCCAGTGAACTACATCCGACTGCACAGAGTAAACTATGTATGTGTCTCTCGGGAGGCTAAATTTACAGCATTGCCAGAAGATGATCACTTTCCACTCAAACCGAGCTTCTGTTACCCTCCGCCAGGGGCTCGACTATCGCTTGCGAAAGTTGTGCTGCCACTACCTGTCGGATCGAACGTGCTATTAGTGGCTAGTGGTCAATTACTTGCTCTTTAAAGTAATTAATTTAAGTGTAACTTCAAGCTAACGAAATATCGAAGATAACGTGATCAGAAGTGCGATGGTGCGATCTTTGGCGAAGTTCCGACGCTTTCATGGGATATTGGTAAGTTTAAAATATTGCTTCGTTGCCCTTCGGCGGAATTCCATGTATCGCGTTCTTTCGCGCTGAGATATTTACAAATTATTCGTATAATTTCGTACAATTAATATTTCGCAATTAATAAATCATTTTAATGTGCAAATGGGTTACCATTCGGGTATTCTGTTCGATTTTATCTGACGGGAATTAGATGCGGGAAACGTCGTTCTTCTTTTGCGCTGGTAGCACGGTGTAACAGTTTCGAAAGTTTGAAGCAACCGTTTAAATTTTCGACCAATCACAGGCCGCCGTTCTCGCGCCTTTCGCGGGCTTCCAGCTTCTTCGTACTTACATGTATTTAGCTGATTTGATACACGTGTCATAACTCGAGCGCGCTAAACTGGCCAAACTGTGCACACTCGAGATAATTCGAGCGGCGTTGTACTTTATGTTGCTATAATTTTTCACACTCGAATGCAATCGAGAATTGAAAATAACAATGTGAAAGCAAAAAAAAAACAATCGTTTTATTGATATTTATCATTTACATGGGATTGTAAGCTATAACACTTACTTATTCAAGTATAAAATATATCCTTTTTCTATACTTATCACTTACGACTTATCTCTTCCTTGTGAGCCGCTTTCCGACAGCGTATTCATATTCAGATACTGATTCGCTCATTTTTCAATATATATTTTACTAAAATATAATGTAAAATAAAATATAATAATAATAATAATAATAATAACAATAATAATAATAGTAATATTCTGAAAATTAGAAATCATACCAATTGTATAAATATCCATTATTTTTGTATTTTTGTGATTTTCTTGCCAAGACAACGATCTAAATTGTGT